CAATTCTGTAAGAAAGCACTTCAACATTTAAAATTACGTTCTCAAAATTAGAGACCATAATCCTTTACATTTGTAAAAGAACACCACAAATTCAATTGTAGTGTAGGCAACAACTCGGACACAATACAAATGATTTTGACATCACCACAAACAAAACTGTAAACATTGGGTTTCTATTCTGGAATGTTGATACCAAAATACATAGTAAATTGAAACTGAAATGAATGTCATACTTAACCAAATCAATTAAAATCAATTTTTCCCATGAGGATTTAAGAGATTTTCCCTAAATTGATTCCGCATATATGGAGATTGAAATTTAGTACACGTGTGCCCTTTTCCTATCAAATAGTTGTCTTATATATTGTACTGTTACACCATTGTCCTAGGTAAAGGGAGCGTTTGGCGCAAGCAAACTAGTTTAACACGGCCACATTCTATACGTAGATATAAGAAGATGTGGTATGAGTGCCAATGAGTGTGCCTGTCCAAAGTCGAGAGCCTGTAGTTCCGTAAGTGGTTCTTTGGTTCATGTCTGTCATATTTGTTTTTCTTATATTGTTTTGTTATAAATCAGGCCATTAGTTTCTCAATTGAATTGTTTCATATTTTTCATGTCGGGGCCTTTTATAGCCTACTATAAGTTATGGGTTTTTTCTCGTTGTTGAAGGCCGTATATATTGCTTATAATTCTTACATCCACTTCATTTGAACTTTGGTGGATAGTTGTCTCTTTGGCATTCATACCACATCTCCTTATTTTTATATTGTGCCAACAGTTAACAATCTTGCAATTTCTGACTCATGTCAACTGCAGAGGTTTGACTAAGCTATTACATTTCAATCAAAGAGCTGAAAGCTCTAAGGAAAAATGACGCCATTGTCTCTCATATTGGGATATTTTTGATGCAAGTCTTGATTTTTAAATAATTTACCTACTGAACCTTAGGCGACGTTTCAGTTTATGGTAGGTAGGGTGACTGATAGAATAGATATGAATTGTTTCCACAATCTATAGCGTTTTTATTTGTGTTTGTCAAGATATATATATATGTGTATGAAGTGAAGATAACTACTAGTTGTTCTGCTGTACAAAGAAATAGCTCAAGACTACCTGAACAATCTACAATATTCAAAGTAATATGTGAATTTGTTTCCCTTATTTGTAGAATTATTTAACAAAATGATTATGAAGAGCCTGTAGTAAGCAAGCTCTTATACCACACATAGTCCTTATTCAAGAGATAAGTTACAGATGACCTAGTGACATAATCACATTGTTATTTCTGTTGCCTAAACATGATCAATTTCTGTAGATTTAGCCTGTAGTAAGCAAGCTTACACTGAAATCTTAAAATGACAACATAAATTATTGCAAAATTATTTTTTTTCAAATGATTTAATGTTTAGTACCGTAGTCATTTATTTCAAAAAATTAACCCGTAATAAAATAAGGAAATGGGGTGTGATTGCCAATGAGATGTCTGATGTACTATCTACCAGAGTCCAAATAATGTCATGAATGTGGCTGTTGGCAGTTATAAGTCACTTTCAGACCTCAACAATGTACCAAACCTTTCAGGTACCACAGGAAAAAGAGGAGTTGTGGCTGGGTGGCTTACAAGAAAATATAAGAAATATAATGATAATAATATAAATAAGAAAATAAGAGAGACAAAAAAGACAGGACTGAGACACTGGACTATATATTAACCGCTCCATTACTAATCCTTAGAGGAGCTGCTGATCTATACTTAGAAAAGAAAGATGTTGAGGACTTAGCCAGAGCGAGCAGAATTTTGAAACTTAGGAACAGCACAGTATATGTGGGGACACCACATATATAGACCCATCTGCCCTATATATGCTGCCACCTATTAATATTAATGACTAGGGTGGTAATTAAACCCATGTGCATTTAATCAATTGTTCTCTATGTACATGTACATATATGATATATATCAAATGCAAATAAACTGCTTCGCTGAGCGCAGCTGGATACGCCCACAGAGGTCCAACCCTGAACAGTTGGGGCAAAAATGGACACAATATTCAAGCTTGATACAGGTCCGAATTTGGATTGTATTAAATATTTGACATATTATAGGTTTCTGAATAAATGTAGTCAAAGAACTTGAAATTGGTTATATGAATTGAATTTATATTCAATTAAAGATTTCTTGCTGTTGTGCAATACACTGTGCTGTTGCGCAATACTTAGTAAATCTGTTGTCAGACTATGAACAATTAAAGTTCAATTAATTCTCAATGTCATACTAGAAATTTATGAAAATGTGAAGGGAGCTTACATCAATAGATATAAACTATTCACCAAAGTTTCATGAGAATTGCTGACAGCATTTTTGAGTTGTCCGAAAACTGGAAAAAATTCCCCCCTTTTTTAATGAATAAAACCCTATAACTCAGAAATGTAAAATGTAAAATTTATAAAATTCTAAACAGAGCTTACATCAATAGATATAAACAATTCACCAATGTTTCATAAGAACTGCTGAAAGCATTTTTGATTTTTTGTCCGAAAACTGGAAAATCCCCCTTTTTTTTATGAATAAAACCCTGTAACTCGGAAACGTAAAATCTAAAATATATAAAAATCAAAAGGCAGCTCATGTCAATAGATATAAACAATTCACCACAATTTCTTGCAAGTTGGTGAAAGCATTCTTGAGTTATTGTACGAAAACTTGGAAATCCCCCTTTTTTTAATGAATAAAACCCCATAAGTCGCAAACGTAAAATCTAAAATTTATAAAAAACGAAAGGGAGCTCACGTCAATAGATATAAACAATTCACCAAAGTTTTATGCAAATTGAATAAAGGGTCTTTGAGTTAATGTCCGACATGTTGACGACAGACGGAGGGACAGACAGACGGACAACGGTATACCATAATATGTCCCGTAAACGGGCGTATAAAAATGCAGCTGTAAGGGAGCAACCATTTAACTTCAAAAGGGGGGTAGAGGGGGGTGTTATGGTTTTTTTTCTTAGTCACTCAGAAAATTATTTATTTAGTTTTTCAATACAATCAACTAGATTATTCTTTTTCAAAATTTGACACTTTAAAGTATGGAGGGAGTTAGCATTCAGGATAAATTTTTTTGTCATCTGCTTGACCAGAATATTTTTTTCCATCACATTGGGGATCAGAATATTTTTTTAGAAAAAAACCATAACCTCCCCCCCCCCCCCCCCCCCCCCCCCCCCCCCCCCCCCATGGAAGTTAGATGGTTGCTCTCTAATGTAAATATGTAAATTTTACATCATTATAGCCTTATCTTTTATAAGGACCTAGCTAGACCTATTTCTTAGGCAAGGTGTATTACATAACTCTGAAAGCAATACAATCCAGTATTCTCCCCAGGATTTTTTTATAGCGCTGTGGTAAGTGCGCAATATTAGATTGATTCCATATCACCTTAAGTGTTGTGTTTGCGATTTGATGCAGTTACATTTATTTACAACTACCATGCTGGTTATACTTTATATTAAAAAGACAAAGACCTGCATTTTTTATACATTGCCATGTGCATTAACAGAAATGCAAAAAAGTGACATTTTTATTATTAAACTTTAGTTTAAAATTTTAAATGCTTAGATAATAATTTGATTTCATTACCACCTGTCCCAAAATGTAGCACAGTGAGTACATTTTTTTCTCACTTTTAGTTGTTTGACTTATAAACTAGTTTTCTCTAATTCTTCGTCAATTTATCCCTTTCTGCACCCATTGTATAAAAAAAATTTAATCAACGTGTGGTTCGTTTGATCTCAGTCCTTCATTGGTTAAAATCCGATTATGACGTCGAATTTTCTTGCTTTCCTCTGAATTTCCTATTGTGACGGCATGAAAAAAGGCGACCATGCCTGATGACGTCACATAGAAAGAACACATCTTTTTGCAGATCATTCGAAAAGAAGGAATAAATTTGCCTGCGTATTGTTTGAAAATCATTAGAGAAACAGATTCCACCACCAAATCTCGTGTAATACGATATTTATCCACTCGACAGTTAAATTTTAAATGTTTAAAACGCTCGGCGAGCCTCGCGTTTTAAATTTGAAAATTTAACTGTCTCGAGTGGATAAATATCGTATCACACTCGTTGCAGTGGTAGAATCTATATATATATCCTTTACAGCTTCATAATTACTGACACATATTTAAAGAAGGTTTTCAATGAAAAAATTGGAATTTTATTTATTAACTTTTATTTACATCCATCAAACTTCAATTTTGCAATTAAAATTGGTATAGCCTTTAATATCAATGGAAGAAATGGAATAACTCTTTCCAAAAGTATTGAAATGTTATTAAAGATATGTTTAAAATAGGTTAACATATTTGATTATATTCCAAGATGAATATGATAGAAATCTTTTTTTATGAAGAAGTTTTTTTTAATTTATTAAAGGTGGATTATCAGATTATCGGTCATGTATGATCTGTTACCATAAGTGTAAAATTTGTCCATTAGCTTCTGTTTTTTATGTTTATGGTTGAACTGTATCTTTGAACTTTGTCAATCAGTCATGATTTACTTCTTAAGCTGTGTAAGAACCTTCTTGTAATTGAAAATTGGTCTGCCATGATCACGATTTATACAATTCTGAGTTCCTAACAAGTTCAAAATTTTTAACGTTCAACGATTTTGATTGGCTGATCAAATTGTCTCCCTTGGGAAAAGTTTGAGGAAAGTTTAAAATCGGGAACAATCATTACTTTTGTGTAGAATTTAACAAAATCGTGTTTTAGAGGTTTTTACACGATCACAATCGTGCAAAGGGGTCAAAATCGAGTATTTCGGGTCTGAATCGTGAAAGTTGGCAGGTATGACAGGTTAAGAAATTAAAGAATGAAATTCTGTGTAGTACAATAAGTATGTAAAATACGGAACTGACTTTGGAAAGGGGGTTTGAAGTCTGGCCAATGGTAAAAGAAAATTGACTGTGTCATTTTCCAAAAACCAAACAAAACATTTTTTAAAATTTTTACTTTTTATTAAATGTCTTCCGACTAATTTAATAAATGCTGATTTAATATTCACAAAACAACATTTTAACAAAAATACAATTATATATATATTGGCAAAAAAACAAAACAAAATTCTCTTACATTGTTAAAAAGCTGCTTCTTCATATCTAATGATGAAATATAAATACACACATATGTTATGATTATCAGAGAGCTTAACTTAAGATTGATGATTAAAAAAATGACACCATCAAAATTCAAACTTGATCTGTATTTTGTGGTAATACGCATTGTGTATAACTTTCATAACATTTGGTTCAGGCAAACTAAAGTTAGGGAAAGGAAAGGAAAATTTCAGCAATTTTTCCATTTGTAAAGGGGCATAACTCTAGAACGGTTAAAATGACGCCACCAAAATTCAAACCTGATCTGTGTTTTGTGGTAATAAGCATTGGGTAAAAGTTTCATAACATTTGGTTGAGGCAAAATAAAGTAAGAGAACCGAAACCAACTTTGGGACGTACGTACGTATGTACAGACAGACAAGGGTAAAACTTAATGCCCCCTCCGCTACGGCGGGGGCATAAATATATAGAGAAACACCAAGCTGGTCATAAGTATTCACCAACCCACCGGACACTTGAAGTAAAATATATTTTACAATCCACTTTTACTGGTCTGAGATGTTAAATAATGATTATTTTTAAGACTGATTTCCATCTAAGGAAGCCACTAATTACCAACCAAACTGGAAATGCAATTGTTTAAAACCCCTTATCAATTTATAATACATATAGAATCAGAGACTTCAAATATCCTTCAGTTAAAACCTGTGTGAGAATGTGACACAAAGATAGAGTCATCCTGAATACACTTGCTATGCAAAGGACCAGCAACTCCTAATGGAGATTATTAACATAATTATAACTCCTTAATCATTCCTGAGGAAATAATCAAAAAGAGTATGTGTATATATAAAAGACATAATCAAAGAAATTGCATAGAAACTACCATACAAATACAAAATTATATTGCACATAAATTATTTTCCTATCATTGTCTTTTTGAATTTTTTTAAAAACAATGTTGCTATAGTTACCATGAAGCCTGTTTATTATAAAAATATCAAATAACTATTGTTTTCAGAAAAGATGTAAATGTGCATGTTTGCATACAGATGATGATGAAAATTAATGTTTTTCATGTTTTTTACCAAAGTCCACCCTAACTTTTAAATAATTGACGTAACATTCAAACCATTCTTTCTAAAAACACTCTGACATTTGATTAACACAGATTTTTGTCTTGTTTCTTTTTGTTTCATCTGTATAACTCAATCTACTAGTAATGTTTTACCTACCATTTTCTCTCTACTTAATTAAAAGTGATTTATCGTTACCATTCAAAGTGACATAGGTCTATAAACATACCATTGATCATGAGGTTTGCAGTAAACTGCATGACTTTCACAATTAAATAAATTATTTGTATTGCACTTCTATCATTTAACAACTTCTACATTCATATCATTAAATTGATGTCCAATCACTATTCGCAATGTTGATATAGTTACCATTCAAACCAATCTTTCTAAAAACACTTATTCGATTAACACTATCATTATTTCTTGTTCAGTATACAACTAACATTTTCTCTTTACTTTAATAATAGGGATTGATCCCTCTACCATTCAAAGTGACATAGTTCTAAGAAACATATATAAAAATTGCCAATTTTGGGGCTCGTTAAAATCTGATACTTATCATACATTAATAACACTATACTTTATGTTCATTGATAACAATGTCATTTCAACATATCAAATATTTTTCACTAGTAACATGAGACATTGGAACTGAAGAGACAGAAATGATTTGGATATATATGCTGATTGACATGATTTCTTGATAATTTGTTCTATCTGACAGTTTGTGCCATATGAAGAGGATTCAACATTAATTCAAATGCAGCTCCCTTTAGATTTGCCCCTCGTAAGTTGGCTTCTTGTAAATCACACCCTGATAGATCACAGTTCTGCAATGATAAACAAAATCATGTGACATATCAAGTTACACTGTCAATATATATATATTCATATCTATAAAAGTTTTAAGATTTGTGCAAAAACAAAAAGTGTACCAATAATAATTTTAGAAATTTATTATTGAGTTAGAGTAATTTGAGTCTAATACATTATTTCAATTAACTTATTAAAGCAGATTCCCTTGTTATCTGTATGTTATACATATCACATTACAAACCTCTAAATCAGACCCTGCTAACACTGCTCCTCTTAAATCACAGTTTTGCAGATTAGCATTCTTCAATGTAGCGACACGTAAATTAACACCTGCCATATGACTTCCTTCTAAATCTACGTTCTTCATCAGTGCACCTGGAAAAATAAGTTTTATCAAAAGTTTAAACAAAGTTAGATCTCAATGCTACACACATCAATTTTGATAAAAAAAATAAAATGTGGCATGATTCCCAATGAAACAACTATCTACTTAAGACCAATAGACGGGGTAAATAACTACTGGTCAATATACAAACTTCAACAATGAAAAATAAATACTGTATAGTAGACCATAAAAGGCTGAGTATTATTTATTAGTAAAATAAAACTTTGTTATACTTAAGAAGCATTTAACTCACTGGCAAACTTCACAATTTAGCTCAGAGAGGTAATGTATATTTTTTTTGTCCTTAGTGTATCAAAACATAAAAAAATTCATTCTAATGAACAACAGTCAATAACAACATCCTATATCATACAAACATAGTTTTTGGCAAAGTTAAAAAGGTCATTTAACATGAAAAGAATGGGTGTTTCTTTAGTTTTCCATATGACATGTTTGTTAACTCCTTGAAAACTATGGTGTAAGCCTAAATCATTTATATACAGGTAAACCCTCATTCCATCAGGGACATCTCAATAAAGCTTCCTCTAAAATATCATTAAATTCAACATTTCTGCCTTTTTAGCCATATTCACAGTTAGTACTTCAAAAAAGCTCTCAATCAGCCCTTAACATACCTTCCATATTTGCCCTACTCCCAGCAGGATCTTCGAAATTACAACCTCTCAGTGATGCTCCTTCTAAATTGGCACATAACATTTTGGCACCTAATAAATTGGCAGACTGGAAAGATAAAAAATTAAGAATTGTTATAACAGAATTGTTCCTTTAAATGGCTTTAATAATATCTGGTTACTTCCTGAAAATTTATAGAAACTTGTTTGATTCAGATCTATTTTATATTCTTTTTCCAAAATGGTCTCAGCTATAAAGTAAGATATCAGTAAACGCCTACCAGAAAGCTATATAAATCTGTACAGAGGATTGAGCTACATTTTATTGAAGAATACTAGTTTTTCTATTTGATAATTGTTCTTTGTCAACAAATGTCATTTAAAAAAAAAAAACAAATATACAGTGAATCTATTCTGGTTGTCAATTCTAAACTTTTGACTATACACTAGTGTAAAAATTCGCTGAAAAATTTTCTATACAGTATCATATCTGACAGAACTAGATATCATCGAGATGGGAGCCATCTCTGTGGGCCCCGCTGTGAATAATGTGTGGTAAAAAATTTGTATCTTTATCATTGGACATGGGGTTGTCAATTGAAACCAAAGTTTTTGACCTTGACTTTTGACCTAGGAAGTTTTACATAAATTATGACACACCCTCTGGTGTTGGTTTATATTCATGTCAAGTATAAATTTTGAAATCATAACGGTTCTCAAGATATAGAGCAGACATGATCTTTACCATAGAATATGGGGTTGTCAACTAAAACCAAAGTTTTTGACCTTGACCTTTGACCTAGGAAGTTGTACATACATTATGACACACCCTCTGGTGTTGGTTAATATACATGTCAAGTATAAACTTTGAAATCATAACGGATCTCTAGATATAGAGCGGACACAATTTGTTACGGACAGACAGACGATGGAAGGACGGACGGACAAACGGACGGACAGACGGACAGACAGACTGATCACTATAGGGCGTCCGCCATTCGGCGCGGCCCTAACAAATAACTTGTGTGAAAAAGAAATACACTAGTGTATTTCATGTGCTGGAAATTTAACATGTCAGAATGAAAGTACACGTACACAAACAGTATGATCTTCAGAATCAGAATTATCCATAGCCAAAGTAATTTCTTATGACACAATACTGATAGAAAAAAAATGTCTTTAAGTTAAATTTGTGCAAAGACATATATTTCAAATTTTCTGCGAACAGCTGACAAAAGGAAGGAATCATACAGAATCTCAATTTCCATGAACTACACTTGTTTTCTCTGTCTACTTCAAAACATAGGTTTCATCATTTCTTACGCGTTGAATAATCAGACAGATCAAGAATCATAAATTTGATATAACATATAACTTGTTGTTTTTGATTTTTAATCAAAATCCTATAATTTGCTTACTAGTTCATATTAAAGCAACTTTTTAATCTCAATAAAACAATTAAAACAGAAGGTGACTTAGATTTTTCTGTGACTAAGCGTTTATATCTAATAGCCTCAGTTTGAAAACTTGACAATCATGTAATATTTCTGTGCAACAAAACTTACATCCATCTTTGTATGTGATAAATCTGCTCTTTCAAAATTACAATAAGACAGATTGGCTCCAGCCAAGTTAGAATTCTTCAATATGGCATATTTGAAATTGATATATCTCAAATCTAGTTTGGACAAATTGGCTCCAGTGAAATCCATACCCTAAAATAGAGAAGTACACATATACAGATACTGACATCTCAAATCTTGATTGCTCAGACCACTTTGTGTTATGTAAAATATTAAGTGAATAGATGATTTCTCTAATTTTCATACTACATGTATTTTCACATGTATCGATCAGTGTGAGAAAAATATTTCTCTCTATATTTATTTTTAAGTCAAAATTGTTCTCAGCAAATGATTGGTCAATTTCAATTATGATGTCAAATTTTCTTTGATTTCTTCTGAATTTCCTATTGTGATGTCATCAAAAAAGGCGACCATGTCTGATGACGTCATATTTAAAGAACACAACTTTCTGCAAATCTTTGAAGATGAAGGATAAACTTGTTATCGTCTTAAAATCATTAGAGAAAGAGATTCCATCACTATATGTCGTGTATTAAGGTATTTCTCCACTCTTAACAGTTTTATTTTAAATATTTAAATAGCTCGGCAAGCCTCGCGTTTTAAATTTTGAAATCTAACTGTCTCAAGTGGAGAAATATCATAACATACTTGATGCAGTGGAGGAATCTATAATCTCTGATTCTTCTTTTAATTTCCACACGCAAATATAACATGTGAAACTGTACCTGGTGATATGTAAAAAGGATATATTAAACATTTGTATTTATATTTTTCAGAGACATAGAGGATTTATAATGTATATAAAAATTGTGTATACATAAAATACACTTAAAGATACCTTTAAAAAATAAACAAATTTCATTGCATTTGACATCTGGAGATTTTGAAAGAATAAAATGGGGACAAATATATAATTTAGAACATTACCTGACATCTGAGTTCTTTGTCCGTAGGTGTGGCCAATAGACGTAGAACTAGCTCTCTCCTTGTTATAGGTGTATTATCATCTGCTTTCTGATTTTTCTGTAATAAAAATATCGTGATACATAAACAAAAACAATGCCATTGAATGAAATAAGTACTTTTTTTATCAAACAATGCCTTACTAGGTCTCAATTGAATAAATGTTTAATAATCAAGTATTCTTTACATTAACCATTTTACATATTTTATCCTGCAAAAAGCCAACTATCGTACAAGAATGTGTACACAAATAAATATTTGCTTTATTTGTACTTGTATAAATAAAGTCTCCTGTTACTACACTTCCATGTTGAGCAAATGATAATGTGAATATTTCTTTTTTGGATATACGTTTATTTTGGGGTTCTCTTTGCAGTCTGAGTTTAAACTATGTCGCTTTCTTTGAAAATCAGAGACAGCTATTTGGATTTTAAACAACTCAAACTTAAAGTTCTGGTTGTAAATTACGGGATTAAAAACAACATATGTACATTGTCGGAAATATAAAATGTATTTGTACCAACTATGAAACAGAAGAAAAGGTCGGCAAGTCTTTCTTTTCCTCCTGTTTCTTAAGCTCATACAAATAAATTCCAGGGATCTCCATGACCTGTTTTATGATGGCACACCGCCATCGTTAAAATATCTTCCGCCATTGTCAAATGATCCCTGCCATTGTTAAATTATCTTCTGCCATCGTCAAATGATCCCTGCCATTGTCAAAATTTGTTTTCGTATGCTAGCCACCGCTATTTTGTTAGCAATTATAATCAATTGCATGTAATTGCATAACCCTTAGGTCTATTTTATTATAATTCAAAGGGTCCTCCTGATTACAGTTTTAAAGCCATGAGGGATATCCGGCTAAAGATTGTTAATCACTTGTACAGGCATGACAGGTAGAAAAAAGTTTAACACATGCTTTTATATTGACTTGTGCAATCAGCATCCCCCTTTTTAAAAGAGTACAAAATAAGACTTAAAACAGAACAAAATTTCATGCCAAATAACACGAGTGCAGCAATTATCAATAATATTGAGTCATTTTACAAGTTTAAAAGTAAATACATGAATATTAACTGCAACTTGATAATCTGAAGAAATTTTGTATTGTAATTCCGAAATCATTTTGTAATTTACAATCAAATTTTCAAATAAAATGAATGCTTGCTTTCTACATTATATCCTCATTTATAAAGTTGTTTCTGTTATACCAAGGCAGTTTCAATACCCATTTTTGGAATAACAAGCATTCTGTGAGTATTGTTTGGCAATACATAGTCCCCTACCGGTTAAAAATTCATTGTACTGAAACAAAATGCTAAATTGATCTATAACTTGTCATGGTGTAAACTATATAACAAATACCAAGTCAATATCTTCAAGCATGACAAAAAAAAGTGCGGAAAACTGATTAATTGAGTGAATTTTTTAAGTTCAAGGACCATAACTCTGCACAAAATCGTCAGACCAAAACTAAATTCGAACTTGATCTGTAACTTGTCATGATTAAACAATACACCAAATATCAAATTAATATCTTCAAGCATGAAGGAAAAAAATGTGGAAAACTGATTTGCCCGACTGACAGATGGACGGAGTGCAAACCTAAAGTCCCAATCGACTTTGTCGGTAGGGTTCTAATAAAGACAAAAAATTGTAAATATTAAAAAAAAAGACACCTTTTTTTGCCAAGGAAAACACTGCAATGTGAATAATTTTTGTTATTTTTTGAAAATTTGTTGTTTCAACATTGTAACAACAATACAAGGCTACCATCTTTCAAGTTGAAAAATTGTTTTATATTTTTGGCTAAATAAGGCCCTTAATGTCCCTTGTCCTATTGTATGTACTTTTATATGTACTAAAATCACTATTGAGATTACCCTTACCTCAATATATTCTTCAAGATGATCGATCATTGATCTAAATCCATAAAATTTGGCTTCTTCTAACACACCTAAAAATAGAACAGAAATAATGACATAAAATGTTGTTTCTTCTAACACACTAAAAATAAAATGCTTCGCTGGGGCGCAGCTTGATACGACCGCAGAGGTCGAACCCTGAACAGTTCGGGCAAGTATGGACACAACATTCAAGCTTGATACAGCACTGAATTTGGATTGTAATTAAATATTTGACACAGCATAGGTTTCTGACACAGAATGAATGTGGTCTAAGAACTTAAAAATTTTTAATTTATCTATTCAAACCATATCATTATTATTTGCTTTTATATATAAATCAGAAATAACCAATTTAAAATGGAAAATTTCAAAGAAAAAAAAGGAAAAAAAAATCCCCCTCCCCCCAAAATTTTTTGAACCCCCTTATGATTCATCACCCTCAAACACAATCCCAGCCTTCCCTTTGTGGTATGGTACCTTGCAGTACATATGATGGACTGTGAAACTAAGATCAGGAGTTTGGGAAATTTTGGTCAGGAGATTAGGACTCAGATCAGGAGGTTTTTAATCGATATAAATTCTGTCGTAAATGTAACCGTGTGCTGTAGAAATTGTCTGTTAAAGTGTGCTTTCTTCAACTTTCCATCCGAATGTATTATGTTTATAGTACCCTTGTACTTATAAATTTTCTCTATCTTTTTAAACTTTCAACTTGTTCAATCTAACATTCTTCTTTTTAAGTATGTTCTTTAAATTTTTTAGGTCATATCTTTTTTTCCATTATTCATTGCAATCAGAATATTTGCTTATCTATCTGCAAGTAGATCTTTTATTTTAATCTTTATGCAAGTAGATTTTTAATGCATGATAAGTAACACATTCAAACTGGATTCATGGGTCATAGTTAATATATAAATTTCAATTTAAGCCTTGAAAGGAAGTATAGAACCCTCAAATAATTTTCAAATTATTATTTTTTTATTTGTCCTAAGACATTTACAATCATTTAATTACCATCCTTTTATGATTATTTGTTCAATTTATATTTTATTTATATTCTTTTAAAAATTTACATTATTTAAAGGAAAGTAACTTAAAACAGGATAAATCAAGGGAAGTAACCCAACATTCATTTATAAATATACAAAGTTTTATTACACAATGGCAGTTAGCCTGATGTAAAAATCGTTGATTACCAGTATGTTTGACACCCAAGGTGACAAGTGAAGCCATATAATTATCATGTTAATTGATTTACAGGTAAAATATAACTTCAGGTAATGTCAGTTACACCAGATATGTTGGGCTGAAATTTTTCATTCATGAAATATTTCATACACAGGATTTTTTTGTCTTCAACGGGAGGTCGGGAGGAGACCCCTGAAAACGGGATTATTGTATTCCCTTCGGGAGGTTCACATGTATGATTACTGTACAATTTCAGGGAGATCAATACACTTGAACAAAAGTTATTGTCTGGAAACTAGAAAAATGCTTATTTTTTGGCCCCTTTTTGGCCCAAGTTTCCTAAACATTTACGGCAATTACCCCCAAACTCAAACCCAGCTTTCCCTTTGTGATATGGAACCTTGCAGTACAATTTCATAAAGATCCATACACTTGCACACAAGTTATTGTCCTGAAACTAGAAAAATGCTTGTTTTTTGCCCCTTTATGGCCCCTAATTCCTCAAATTTCTAGGGATTTAACCCCAAAATCAATCCCAGCCTTTCCTTTGTGGTATGGTACCTTGCAGTACAATTTCAGAGAGATCCATACACTTGAACAAGTTATTGTCTGGAAACTAGAAAAATGCTTATTGTTGGCCCCTTTTTGGCCCCTTATTCCTGAACGTTGTGGGAAATTACCCCCAAAATCAATTCCAGCTTTCCCTTTGTGATATGGAACCTTGTAGTACAATTTCATAAAGATCCATACACTTACACACAAGTTATTGTCATGAAACTAGAAAAATGCTTGTTTTTTGCCCCTTTTTGGCCCCTAATTCCTAAAATTTGGAGGCAATTACCCCCGAAATCAATTCCAGCATTCCCTTTGAGATATGGAACCTTGTGGAACAATGTCAGAGAGATCCATACACTTGAACACAAGTTATTGTCATGAAACTAGAAAAATGCTTGTTTTTTGCCCCTTTTTGGCCCCTAATTCCTAAAATTCGGAGGCAATTACCCCCAAAATCTATCCCAGCATTCCCTTTGTGATATGGAACCTTGTGGTACAATGTCAGAGAGATCCATACACTAACACGCAAGTTATGTCTGGAAGTTACAAAAATGCTTATTTTTGGCCCCTTTTTGGCCCCTAATTCCTTAACTGTTGGTACCATAACCCCCAAAATCAATCCCCACCTTCCTTTTGAGGTATTGAACCTTATGGTAAAATTTCATAGAGATCCATTCACTAAAACTAAAGTTAGAGTGCGAAAACCAATGTGTATTCGGACGACGACGCCGGACGACGACGCCGACGACGACGACGACGCCAACGTTAACCAATATACGACCACAAAAATTTTTTTGCGGTCGTATAAAAAGCATGGCAATAATGACATATTTATCTGGTATAAAGACTTAACATTTCATTATGTTTTTTATTTACGAAGACAGCTAAAATTTAATCCTGCTAAATAGTATGGTATTGTACTTAAGTTTATGCACCACACATGCTAACTTTTGAAAGTTCAGAAAACAAATGGAGTAAAAAAAAACTCAGATTTACGCCATGTTTAAGTGACGTAACAAGACTTTAAGATAATAACAGCTATAAATGAGTTGTTCTTTTGCATTTGTTTTTTTCAAGTGTGTGTAGTGATTTGATCATGAATTGAAAAACTATAAATCATACTTTAGTTAAATGATTTCGAATTAGTGTGGTTTAAATTTATTTAATGTAATCATATGAGCAAACAAGTTCAGAGAGAATCAAGACAATTATAAAGTCCATGTTTGAAGCATATTTTACTGAAAAATGTCACCAGTAGAATATGGTATGAGGTCAGTTTACCTTCAGCACTCATTCCTTTATCTAGAACTATTCGGCCATGTCGGAGATAATTTATGATTGGTTCAAAATAATGTGGACTACGATCTATTAAGTAGGCTCCTGTTTCATCAACACTGCTCTGCCAGGATACACCTAAAATTAAACAGATAAAGTCTGTTATTTTGGGTTTCTAAGGTCCCTGTATCTGGGAACAACTTCATGGGATAACAAGTTTAAGCATCTAAGCTCTCCATATAGTATCCACTTACAGATTAATAAAGATTTGCAGTTTTCTATGTTAGTTTTAACACTTTACTGTGTGAAATACTGTTGGGTGCACTATATTTTTTTCCCTTTCTTTTATTATGTGGTGAAATTAACAAAATTGTTTAATCCAGAACTGTCCTGAAGTCACATAAGGGTTAAAAAATGCCTGGAGTTCATTTCTATCAATAAAATAAACAAATCAACTGTTGAACATTTGTATATTTTGTACAATCCACTTGAAACATATATAGTATAAGATGATGTTAACTGGAATTTTTCAAGTAAATGATCATAACAAATTTGTATTGGTACATAAGTTTGTTATTTTACAACAAAGATCTCTACTTCTAAGTAGACCTAGAAATTGAAGTACTTATGTTCCATTGTCAAGTACCAGTACTGTTTCATCATACTGTCCTCAGACATGTAGTATTGTCACTGTATTTAAAGGTGCATCATCATGCAATAAAATATCATTTTATAATGTCTATCTTTTTAGCAAACAGAGATGCTCAAAATCAAATTAAAGCAGCTTATTTCTTATTCTGTTTTAACTTAGTTTTCACATTAACTGAGGAAACATAATGGACACTTCAGGGAACCAGGCCAGACATTTTTGGACTCTAGGATATATTGTCTTTATACAAGTAAAGGATAAGGAGTGTAACAAAATTAAAATGCATGGCAAAACAAGAGCATCAAAGAAAACACAGAACAAAAACACTAACAAGTAAAAAAGAAAAGCATATGGAGCAATAAGAAAACACCATGATTCATGGCAAGAACAACTGACAGGATTTATCCATGAAACACTGATAGAAGACAAGGGGGAAACATGATAGCACGATGTTCTTAAGATACCTGTCCCATAACTGGTTCTCCTCTTAAAACCTTCGAAGCAAGAACAGATTGATGTTGCCTAATAAAATTCTTGCACTACTCATTTTTGTTTTATTTTACAAATACCAGTAAGTGATACTAACATGGGACCAAAAATCCCCAACCCTGTTGGAATGGTCAAATTATATCAAAAATTTTATGTTTGTGGTCTGCTAAAGGCAGACATATGCACATAGACCCAATCAAAGAGTGAAAAATGTCAAAAAATGTACCAATCCTTAGACTTATTAACATCTATTCTTAATCACAGATTAAGTTTGAAGGAAATCAGCATAATCATTATCCATGCATAAATCATACATGTACAGCTTATTTCCATTTAAATTGATTTATCAAATTAAGTCCAATATTTTTAGTTCCAGGACAACAAATGTGGAAAATATCAAGAAATATAAAGATCCTTATACCATTATTCACTTTAATCTGTGAAAGATTGACAAATTTTTACTGAAGCATAAATGAATTAAAGAGCAGCTGAGCTACATTTTTAGTATAGGTTTATTTAAAGTAAAGAATATGTAATTATTTTATAAGGAGGAATTATAATTTTTTCTTTTTAATGTATGAGCAACCTTGGTATTTTCTGTCTGATCTTTCATGTGAAATTACCATACTTACATTTTTCCCCAGAGAACATTCTAGCCAGCATACTGTCTGGATCTTGTTGAGTTAATGTACTCCTGTAACACAAATATGAAGAGAACGTGAAAGTAGCTAACTTAAAACTTTCATCATTGTCAATATCAATCCTTGTGTTACTAAAAAGGTAAATACTACCATAATCCATGCCAGTATTCCCAGTATTCCCATTTTTATTAATAAAATTTAATAAACAAGAAATATGCATTTTTTTACCCATTTAGTACATGGTGTTGTCGCTGGCAGCAGCAGCTGGCAGATATGATATTTGAAGCATATATAACATGTGGCAGCTATTTAAATCTTGAATCAGGACTTCTTGAGAAAAACAGGCCAAAAAAATAAAGAATAGAGAATGATGGCCCATAGGGTGCTAAAATATAGAGAATAGAGATTAATATATGCAAAATTTGTAAAGAATTAAGAAAAATATCTTAACAATTAAAGAATACAGAATTGAAAGACCCCCATCCAGAGCTTCCAGTAAATTAAGCCAAATCAGATATGGATCCAGGATGGATTTTGAATAAGGGGGGGGGGGGGGGGGGGTGATGGGAACTAGACGTTTGGAGTGGAACAGGTAAAAAAACTGCATTAACCATAATTGTAGCTCCATAAGGGAGGGAGGGAGGGGGGGGGGGCACCCTGCTGTATATCATATTTGTTTTTCATTCGTTGTTTTGTACATAAATCAGGCCATTAGTTTTCTCATTTGAATTGTTTTACATTTGTCATTTCATGGACTTTTCTAGCTGATTATGCAGTATGGGTTTTGCTCATTGTCGAAGGCCATTTGGTGACCTACAGTTGTTAACATCTATGTCATTTGGTCTCTGGTAGAGAGTTGTCTTATTGGCAATCATACCATATCTTCTTATTTTCATATTATATTACCTTGTAGTTGTAAAAACTTTCCCTCCAACATTAAGTGTTATCCATTCAGTGCATGGTGTTGTTCCAGAAGACAAGTTCCTAGTATGGCCTTTGACTGAGGTTCTGTCATTGTTCTCGTCAACTGTCACAGGAGGTATTGCTGTAGGTTTCAATGGAGCTATAAATACACAAAACTTGGTTTGTACATAATCATCTGTATACTATTATATGGTATAAACAAGAGTGCACATGCTGAAATGTCTCGCCTTCTTTATTAATCATTGATATTATGTTGAAAGTCCTAAATATAAAGCTTTATTACAACTGTCACATAAACTTAACATTAACCAAAAAACTAAACATTGACCAATGAACCATGAAAATGAGGTCAAGGTCAGATGAACCATGCCAGGCAGACATGTACAGCTAACAATTCTTCCATACAACAAATATAGTTGACCTATTGCTTATAGTTTAAGAAAAACAGACCATAACACAAAAACTTAACACTGAGCAATGAACCGTGAAAATGAGGTCAAGGTCAAATAAAACCTGTGCGACCGACATATAGATCATAAAATATTTCCATATACCAAATATAGTTGACTTATTGCGTATAGTATTAGAAAAAAAGACCAAAACTCAAAAACTTAACTTTGACCACTGAACCATGAAAATGAGGTCAAGGTCAGATGACACCTGCCAGTTGGACATGTACACCTTACAGTCCTTCCATACACCGAATATACTAGACCTATTGCTTATAGTATCTGAGATATGGTCTGACCGGCATGAGGACCTTGTAAGGTACGCACATACCAAATATAGTTATCCTATTACTTATAATAAGAGAGAATTTAACATTACAAAAAATCTTAACTTTTTTTTCAAGTAGTCCCTGAACCATGAAAATGAGGTCAAGGATATTGGACATGTGACTGACTGAAACTTCGTAACATGAGGCATCAATATACAAAGTATGAAGCATCCAGGTCTTCCACCTTCTAAAATATAAAGCTTTTAAAAAGTTAGCTAACGTGGCCGCAGCCGCCGCCAGATCACTATCCCTATGTCGAGCTTTCTGCGACAAAAGTCGCAGGCTCGACAAAAATGATTTCATATTAATTTCTTAACTCATAAGAGAAACTCTCTGATTTGATGTTTTTAAACAGCTCTGAAAGTATTTTGGTAAACTAAAGGAAAGTCATATGAAATGCACAAAGTTTACATTAATAAGATCAATTAAAGGAAGAGCAAATGATAAGCCACAAAAGGCTGAAATAGCAAGACTGCTAGTGGTAGATTTGGGACTGTATACAGGTACTATACTCCCCTCACATTCAATCAGATATTATGTACCCTGACTCAATCAGACCTTCATCATTAATTTCACAGTATTTGGAAAGATATCTTCTGAAGTTTTATACAATGTATATATATAATATACATGGCTGTTAATGTTATTTGAAGAAGAAAAGAAACTGACTATATTTGAATGTAAAGTTGATCCATAAATTGTCATAGTTTTAGATTGAATATAAAATTTAAAAACTTACATCTATATGGCTCTCCTTCAGATACATAATAAATATCATCATCCCTGAAATATAAATTCATCATAATAAATTTCATAAAAGAATTTTAATTACATTCTTTTCACAGAATAGAAATGGATGTGCATTTAGATGGTTATTTTGACCATATTCTGTGCATAAATTTTTCAAACTTTTTCCATATCTAAACATTTGCTACAAGTTCTTTAAGTTACCGGGTAAAGCCAAAGTTGTTCGTCGGTACATGTATATGTAGGTCGCATCTTACATGATTTTTTTCTATATATATCTAATAAAATTCAATAAGTCTAAATTGAAAACAACGTTCAAACCTATGATTGCGTTGGATAAAAACCGCTATTTTTATACGTGTGCATGCAAAACAAATTTCTTGGTAGAGGGTTCTAAATACAGCACAAACAACATTTTCCAAAAGACCAAAAAAGTGAAAAAGTATATTTAAATAAAACGCAGTTGACCAACAGGTCGAGCAACGAATGTTCTTAAACCCTGCAGACTGCCATTGGCGATTGCCAAATAAACAGATCACAAGATGTAACAAACTGGATCTTTATTATTAATTTAATACCAAACAGAAAACAATATGAATAAAGTTGCGGAAAAGATGGTATACCGCAAACATGAGGTGCTAAAATTTGTACACCATATCGGGATTTTGACATTTAATGTCTCTTCAGTGATGTTAGGAATCAAAATGGTATTTGGAAGGCCATATAATTTACCTCAATTTAGGATAGACTCTTGAATTTTGAAGAGTCGAAATAGGATGAACGGATCATATAAACCTGAAGGCAAATATAATACAAGCCCAAATGAAAAAATATAAATAAGTCTAAATTGAAAACAACGTTCAAACCTATGATTGCGTTGGATAAAAACTGCAATTTTTTCAAATACCAGTATATATTAAACAGACTGAACCTCCGCGTACCCTTTTGTTTACAAACATCCAAGCAAACATAGCAAGCAAGTCGATCAAAGGTTTGCTTTGCATGCTTTTATAGATAAAATGCTCCGCTGGTCGCAGCTTGATACGACCGCAGAGGTCGAACCCTGAACAGTTGGGGCAAGTATGGACACAATATTCAAGCTTGAAACAGCACTGAATTTGGATTGTGATTAAATATTTGACACAGCATAGGTTTCTGACACAGAATGAATGTGGTCTAAGAACTTGAAAATTTTTAATTTACCTATTCAAACCATATCATTATTATTTGCTTTTATATATAAATCAGAAATAACCAATTTTAAATGGAAAATTTTAAAGAAAAAAAAAGGAAAAAAAGGAAAAAAAAATCCCTCCCCCAAATTTTTTGAGCCCCCTTATGATTCATCACCCCCAAACTCAATCCCAGCCTTCCCTTTGTGGTATGGTAGCTCAGGCAAATTCTTTTTACATGGTAATTTTGATATATACCGTAAATTGAGTTATTTTGGTTGTAGTTTTATTTTGGTTTATTTGGTGCCTTAAATGTAGTGCCAAAATTAAACACACGAAAATAAAGCAAAAATTTTAATTGAAAAGCCAAAATCGTGTAATGGTACGATAATATCGTAATGTTAATTGTTTGGGAAATTTTTTAATATTATTATATCTTCCGTATATTTTCACTAATTCTATACAGAGCCAAATCTGCAAATGAATACCTGGTATAATTTGACAACACCATATAATTTTTACCTAATTGTCAATTTTCTGAAATTGTTAAGAAAACACAACAAGAATTTTTATTCACACATGTCATAAATATGCCAGGCTATTGCTGATTAGACGTGGTTGTTGGTAATTAGAATATCAAAACTCCTTATAATCTTTTATCTTCAATTAATTAACATGTACTGCCAGAAGCATAAGGATTAAAATTTAAATCTTTGATCGTCAATAGATTAACATGTACTGCAATAGACATGATTAAAAAGTTCATTTTATATGATATTTGTAAAAAAATAAGTAATCTGTCTAAAAAATTATTTTAATGTTTAAGATTGTATTTCATATTTTCTTTCAACTTTAAACCACGATGTACGTTTGCAATTGCCTTTGTGTCCGATTCCTTCATTAAGTTGACTTTGTCGTGTTTTTAGTTTCTGAAATTCAATGATATTTTGTCAATAAGCGGATAAATAAAGGCAAATATGAATGAGCTTGCTCCTACTGTCGTTCTAAAATTAAACATAAATTGGACGAAGCACCAAAATTTCACACACCAAAATAAAACACGTGCCTTTCAAGAGAAAACCGCTAAAATATCCCAACGCCAAAATTTCCCAATTTACGGTATATAGTGATTGTCGTGATATGATATAGTTGACTCGTATGTCTTGTAGTAGTGTTCGTCCTTTTCTATAGATTCAGCAGGCTTGACTCTCATAGATTCCAACTTCCAAAATTGCTCCAGATCTTCCCCTTCCTTCATGTGTTTTACTAATACATTCAATGTAGCAGCTGGTACTGTTGGTTTTTCTATTGTTGGCATTGGTCCAGACAATAAATATCCCAGTTTTGACTTTACAGCAGTAGGACCCATTCCGCGTAGTAACTCGTTTCTGACGATGTCCCAGTAATAACTTGCTCCTACCAACATAGCTAATTCAAAATGTTCTTCCTCACTTACAGGATGGGCCAATTTCATACCTTGTAAATATGGCAACTTTGACGCTTCGTAATGGATACGATTTGATAGCGGTGCGGCGATTGTTGGTACTATTAGTACCTCCAATGATATTTTACCTTCATACATGTATATGGTCTCCAAATAAACAACGGCTTTTTCGAGGCTCCTTACATTACGAATAGTATCTCCAAAGGCAGCTAGACTGAGTGTAGTGACTCCACAGGGTTTTATCTGCAATTTTTTAGCTAGATCCTCGGTCATAAAGGATTTCTGTGACCCTTCGTCTAAAAGAATATTTGTTAAAATAGAACTATTACCTACTATAACTGGTGATACTGCTGTCTTTAAGAGTACGTCAGTTCTCTGTTTCACGGGATTTTCATACGATGTGTAAACTGTAGCTGTGTGTGTTTCTACTTCACTATTCATAGTAATTACGGCTGCGCTTGTTTGTCTGGTTGTTTGGTTCTCAGTGTGTTGTTTCTTATGACATAAGCTTGTGTGATGTTTTATGTTGCATTTACGACAGGTATATTTAGATGTACACTCTGAAACTTTGTGACTCCCAAAGCAGTTAAAACAAAGCTTTTTCTGTTTGATAAAGGCATAGCGCTTTTCATTCGTAGTTACTTTTGTGCAATCTGATGCATAATGTGGTTCTTGGCAATAAACGCATAATTTTACCTTATTTGTTTTATTCTTATTTCCTCTGTTTTGTTGTATATTAGTGTTGAACCTTGGTGTTGCTCCAAAATGGATTGATGCGGTAGGTGTCAAAGTGTCTGATATTTTGAAATTTCCTGATTCCTGTACATATGCTTCTTTGTCAATGGCTTCTCTCAATGACCTAATATCCCAGCTGTTATTACAATGTTCCCGAGTTAGAGACTTTTCCGCATTTCAATGAGAAGTTTACCAAATATAATCAGGACCAGTAGTGACCCAAAGGTAGCCTGAGATTGTCCTAGTGACTCTAATCCCCGTATACTGGTTTCCATTTTGTCGTGAAAATGTCTTAGATTGGTTGGTGATAGTGATGGGCTGGGTTTTGCATGTATGCGTTGATAATGTGTTGTTTTTGTCCAAAACGCTCCTCTAATAGATGAATTGCTTGTTCATAGTTGGCGCTAGTGAGAGCTAGTCCTGAAATACATTGCTCCGCTTCCTAAACTATTTGTGATTTTAAGTAGCTGAATTTCTGGACATTCGTGAGAGACAGATTTGTGTGCACTGTTGTTTGGAAAGAATCCCAAAAAGTTTGCCATGCTAAGATATTCCCGGAAAATGTCGGTAAATCAAGTTTAGGTAGCCTGTGATAGAAGTTTGACGGGATTACGGGAATGTGTTGTGACGGGTTTGTTTCTAAATCTTCACGAGTTTGATTACAACTCTGATTGAGTATAGTAGTGTGATGCGATAAAGAATGTGCATAATCACTCACCATTTGTTGTGGTACACTTGCCTTTGAGTCTGACAGCATATCCTTAAATTTGCAAATAGTGATTTCCATCTGAAAAGTGTAGTCATCCGTATCCAATATTTCTTGTTCCATTTCTCTGACTTCTGTAATGTCAATAATCTTGTTGTCCAAATTCAGTAAAACGTCCCTTTTCTTCTCGAGAGTTTCAACTGTTGCACAGAGTTCCTGATTAGAAATTTCATTTTCGGCAATTTTTTCATCTGTTCTGTGAATTAGTCTGATAACGGCTCTTCTGTGTCCGCCACGTATAGCCTTAAACTTCTCCATAAGTCACGGCACCAATGCTTGGGTTTAGTTTGTAGTACTTCGCTTGTGTTAATTATAGAAAGACGTGTGTATATTTCAAACTCTGTTTACTATACTGACTAGAGACGTTATGCATACAATAAGCGTAATAATGATATAACATTAAAATACATTACGTTAACAATAAGAGTTGCATAAGTTAGTGTCTCTGTATCGCGGCTAATTCATAATACATGTACCAAGAAGCCAGAAGTTATATATTTTAGTGATATTTATGACATACCTTATTAATGAAGCATCATCTAAAACAGCTCCTAAAGAATTGTACAACACTCTTGCATTGATTTCTAGCTTCTTTGCAGCTTCAGCAAGTACACTGTCTAACTTTCCAGCATCAGAAATTCCAACTATCTAAAAAGAGACAAAAATAGGTACATCTACAAAATGTACGTGTACATTTGAATGATTTTCCAATTTATGATCGTCATACAAGATTAACCACCTAAAATTCGATTTAAAATTAAATTGAGCTTCAGATTTTGTATTCAAAATTTTATTCTTTTTTTATATTGTCATGGACAGATGGATAGTAGGCTCAAATTATATAAAACCTCAGGGTTTTACAGCCAAAATAAGTGTTTGTTGGTTTTTCTCATGTCACCGGATATATGCATTCAATAGATTTTAACATTTTATGTTCTTTGTGTTGTCAGTGTTATATGTTTCACATTCATATCATATTCATATTTCATATTCATATTCCACTTGACGATTGACGACAAATAGTTTTGCGCCGTGTATTTAGAAACAGACTATAGCTTTGTACGCTATGTTTGGCTTTACATACTGAATATTTAAATCATGGCACAAGTATTTAAATTAGTACGATAGAAAGTGAATGCGATACTTTAATAATATTTAAATGATATATATTTATATTCAAATGGCATGAGCTATGCATGAACTCAAAGCGCGGCAATACTAACCATATATATATACTAATAAGCACTTTTTGAGTTAGTCACTGGTCAATACATGTATATATCAGGAAGGGCAGACGATGAGAGTCGCCGCTATAGGTACAAAAAAAAAATGTACTTGTAACTGTATTTATTCTATCAGTCATGTTTATATGGTTCAACTGTTTCAATTAAAGCAAAGATATTTTAGTATTTCAGATATAGTATTTAGTTTGGCTTGAAGGCCACATTTTGGTATATCAGTAAATGTCAGATTATAGCTCCTTTGCATGTGAATTATTCAGTTATGCATATAATAAGGGGACGAAGTCCCCTATTACGGTAGAAAAATTCTACTAATGAACTCAAAATCGTTAACTTTTTTTTTCTGACTTTTTTATTTTCCCACATTTGCGCAGAAATCTACTTCTTTCTTCCGGTCTCGTTTGTCATGATACTTTGAGTAAAATATATATTTATCTAGTAAAATATTGGAAGGAACCCAATACCAATTTCATTTTTAACAATTATTTGATATGAAAAAACGTTACCTGATGATAGCGTTTCTTTGTTTACATTGAATATGAAGTCATAACTTAAATAACATCAACAACTAAAATCCCTTACAACAGAACCAAAATCAGAAACGTTACGGTATTTCCGTTTCTTTTTTAACAGATTTTGAAGTTAAAATATGTTTGAATTAAAAAAAAAATTATTCATACAGACTTCGTCCCCTTTCACAGGTAATGCCTGCCTCATATCAAATAATTTTGTTCATATTATAATATTTATTGGAACACATTGTAAATTTGGTTTACAATTTTTTTATTACAGATACTTATAATAAATTATAGTTATTCTGGACGACTCGTTTTATGCAGAAAATGGCCCACAATTAAAACCAGGCCTTTAGTCTTTGTGGTTTGGTGACTTTATCATCAGACATCACCCAGTTTGGCGATAGATTTTTCCTGCGACACTAGCTTCATATAAACGTATACCTTTCCATCTGTAGAACATCCGTTGCGAAATATAAGAAATCTTTTCATTTCACTGTTTCAGAAGTGGATATTCATTTTCCAAAAACCAAACCCTTCGGACTTGTCAACTTTATTTATAGACTCAACCGCTTGTGCAATCGAAAATACTATCGACTGGGATCCCGGCTCATTAAAACAGAAACATATCATAGCCAAAACAGATAAAAGAACAAGAAACCAGTCTATAGTTGTTTGTCGCTTAAATCATGTAAAAATTCAAATTAATTCTTGTTGGCCCGACCATAAACAAATATGTTTTAAGATTATTTTCCACGAACGACATAATCTTGAACTTTGTCTTTTCTGGTGAAATTATGCATCCTGCAAGGTTTGTCCGACTAGCACCTCATACAACTAAAACTTTTATAATATGAGGAAGGCGCTACCTTGAATGCCAGCTTACCAAGACTATGTCCTACATATTGATTGATTGTTGGTTTGCTTAACGTCCAGTGGCAAATATTTCATGCATGTTCAGGACAAATGTCCTACATATAGTTTTTGTCTAAAAAAAATAATAAGTTCAGATTGAAAATGTTAAGGGAACAATCATTGAACTCCCAAATTGATGAAAAAAAAAAATTCTATAAATCAAGCAGAGGACAAAAAAATATTCTGAATCCAGATTATCCCCATACCTTCTAGTGTTAATTTTTGACCAAATAATTTTGATTGATAGCGTTGATGAAGCCCTTTGCATGAAAAAAAATCTGAAACAAAAAACAAAAAACCATACCCCCGCCCTTTTGAAGCTAAATGGTTGCACCCTTCAGGGCTCACACTACTTCAGAATCATAGGGAGAAGTGACTTCTCTTTTTGAAATTGAGAGGGAGAAGTGGTGAGATTTGAAAGAGAAGTGCTTGTTCGCTGGCGGCGCTACAATGTTTGGTTTTTACTATATTTACATTAAGGGCCATATGTATCTTATTTTTTTTATATTGTTCAATTTGTACCTGGGTATACAATTAAAGTAACTGTTCAAATTTAAAGTTGTTTAATTTTATCATATCTAGTTGCACAATCATATGATTATAAGGGTCCCTTATTGTCCATATTGTTTTCTGCTGAAAATAAATTTATTGGTGATTTATCTAAATGACGATGCTTAAATTCATTATCTTGTGCCATTTTCAAATTCATTTTTCTTTGCAAATTTTACAAAATTTAAAACAATAAGACATTTGTTTAATTTCAAAACTATGAATACTGTTATACAATCCATAACTTTATTATATTAATTTTTTGTTGATTTTCATGAAAAGGTGGAGGATTTGGAATATCTTTTTCATCAATATCTAAAAGTTGTAGCTGTTTTTTTTATCTAGTATTGCAAACAACGCTTTCTGTTTGTTGAATTATTTTTACTTTCTAAATTAGCTGGATGTTCATATTATATTCCCAGTTTCCTGCATCTCATATATATGTGATCAGCAAGAGGATCATTCTGATTGTTCAAAGAAGAGTTTGAATTTACAGTTATTAGAATAATGTTTTGATCAGGTTTTTCATTTTCATCTAAGCCTAAGGAACCATAAATAGGATTGTTAAGATGATAATCTAAAGACTTTGCTATATTCTAGGATGCAATTTAAAATTTGAGGGGAGAACACTGCTCAGCAGTATAAATGTATTCCTGATCATCTTCTGTTTGTGGGTTTCTACATCAATTGCATGTACTAATTCAGAGTCAGTTTTATGTCATTTCTTGCATTTTGTTTTATTAGCTTTCTTTTCAAGTTTTTATACTACAGCAAAATAAAATTGAGAATGGAAATGGGGAACACGTCAAAAATTTGCTTTCGAGTAATGCTATCATGTCGTCGTCGTTGTCCGAAGACACATTTGGTTTCCGGTCAATAACATGATTTTAAGTGAATGGATCTCTATGAAATTGTACCAAAAGGTTCAATACACAAAAGGAAGGTTAGAATTGATTTTCGGTGTTATGGTACCAACAGTTTAGGAATCGGGGGCCAAAAAACAACATTTTTGGGGTTGTTTTTTCCATAATTTTTGAAAAAATTTACCATTTTAAAATGAGAAATAATCAATGTAAAATTTTTACATGGATTATTTCTCATTTATATATAAAGGCAACAAATACTGATATGGCAGGAGATACACACGAAACAGGGTGTGTAAATTATTTTATTGGTAATTTGTGCATTTTCGTTTGATGTGTACTCATTGATAATGTCGATGTCAGTATCAGTGGACTGGTCATGATAAAGAAAATATATTGGGTCAGTTAGCAATTGATATGGGCGAGTGCTCCGCAAAAAGGATCTTCTTTCCCTTTAATTCACAAAATTGCACATGATTTTTTCATTATTTGGTGAATAAAACACTTGTCCTTGTTTGAAACTTTCAGTAATACAAAGTTAGTTTAGCCTTTTTGAACGATTCACTGATTGTGTGAAAATTTGAACAGAAAATGTACGATAAACCTAATAAAACTGCATTATCTGCACAGCCTTCACGATAAACTTTCTAGTCCACAAGCCCAGGGCTCAATTTTATGAAAACTTTAGTTGGTTTCTGTTGGCTTGTAGAGAAGAATTTTACAAGCCCCCGAGCAATTTTACAAGCCATGGCCGTAGGACTTGTGGTTAAGCGTAAAGACTGTAGACTGGAGAATTATTGATAGCCCTCAATACTATTCACAAGGACATATAACTAACATATCATCCATGTTATTCCGATCTGAGTTTTTATTCATACATAGTCTGGCATGGCTGGTGCTGTTCCAAGTTGTCTTCTTTTTCTGCATGTATCCTCAGAAGTATTTGTTGGACCTGGTCAGTCACTATAAAGTGTTACAATTCATATTTAGATGCAACACATAAATAGTGACCAAAAAGGTACCACTTTCACATGAGAGAAGCTAGAAAAAAAATTAAATGTACACATTTTCAACATTTTTGTGGGACTGACCTCCAAACGATCAATGATTCTGTAATGAGGTCAGTACCCAAATACCATACATCATTACATGCTTAATTTCTCATCCTTAAAAATCAATTAACAAATGTTTTGTTTTATTTCTTCAAATATTTCGAACAATTGGACATTATTCCATGCTTAATATTATTTTTTTAAGAAATGGATGCTTGTAACAAATTTAATTTGCTCATTTTTAAAAGATGATAATTAGATAACTTTGCATGGTGACGACACTGACGTTTTCGTAGATTTACTTTTTCCCGATGCCAATTTGGGTACTGTGACATTATAGCCATAAGTGTTTATTGCTTTAATAGGTTGAAATGTGCACCTGATAAAAGTATTCGGTAGAGTGAAAATGTTTCGATCAGGGTAAAACTGACGCATAAAATATACAGGCAACTGTGGAAGGCAATTATTTATATTGCATCCAAATAATGTGTCGGCAGCTTGAATTTCAAAGGATGCAGCCCACATACTTCCAAGTAACGTGCTCTATACCTATCAAAAGTCATTGTATTATCATAACTCCATCTTCCCATAAAATCCAATTTTAGACAATATGGGAGCATACAATATATACCTAAATGTATCACTCAGACTCAAGTCTCCTTTTATGATTAAACTTAGAGAGTGAAAAAAACAAAACAGTTTCCATCTCCTGGGACTGTATAACGTTGATATATGTGTCATAATTAATGACAATATTTGTTGAGAGTTTGTCTAAGGAAGTACAGTCTACAAAATTAGAAGATTGTGAATTTGAATATATATATTTTTTTTTTAAACTTTTGTTAAATTTTTAATTTCACCTGCATTTGTCTGTTAGCCAGTTAGCTGCAAGAATAACCGTGATCATATTCAACAGTATAACCAACGGCAACGTCATTATCACTGTAACTTGATATGGGGAATTCTGTAGCAGATGAATAATAGTAGTCATGGTCAACCAGAGCACTAGCTGCGGAACCGTAGCTCTTAGGTCCTTATGTTATTTTTTGACTATTTGCGGACCATAGATCTACGGTCCGCAAATAGTCAAAAAATAACATAAGGACCTAAGAGCTACGGTTCCGCAGCTACCAGAGCACAGGAATCGGAAATTCTATCAATAAAATTCTGTAAATAATAAAGTCGACTATCAATAGAGCTTCTCGCACAGGAATCGGAAATTCTATCAATAAAATTCTGTAAATATTAAAGTCGACTATCAATAGAGCTTCTCGTAGAGCACCGGATTTTACTACCTCCGGCTACGTTTCTCCAGAAATTTATTGCTTGCAGAGAGTTTTTCTGTGTTCCCATGGCTGTACGGAACTTTTACACTAAAAATGTTATCATTAATTATGATATTGTGACTTTTAAATGAAGTACCTGTGGTTATTAAGGAAATTTGTCACTGATAATGGAAAGATGAAGCAGACGATGAAACATGGCGTAAGATATTGTTGTCCAAACTTCGGTTATTTCCGTGGTACAATAAAATTTAAATAAACTACACAAGTTACTAAAATTTCTAAATTCTTGTTTTTGTAAACAAATAAAAATTCATGTCGTATTTAACATCGAATTTGTTCCTTTCTGTCCCGGTTTTTCAAGATCGCGTAAAAACGAGAATCTGGCAGCCATTAAAAAAAAGGGTTACACTAATGTCCTGACAGTGTCCTGACGGATATTCCAATGCTAATTTCGTTTTCATTATTTGAAGAATTGACTTTATATTTGGAGCCAAGCAAGAATACAATATTTATTTAATAAATATAAGGAAAAAAAAAGAAAAAAATATTTTTAAGAGTTAGATAACTTGACTTGATCAACTTCGAAAAAAAAATTTAAAAAATCGTACGAGATTTAACGAGAGTGACGAAACTTTTTAGATTGATCATGTAGAGAGAGTTATCGTTCTTTATTCCAATTCGATGCTTCTACCATAAGTGCCAGCTAAAGCTGGCATATTATACGATAATAAGAATTTGTATTTTATCACAGATTTTTTTCTTTAAATTTTCCGCAACTAATAACAGAATGATAATTAATCTCTTTGGCAGGTGCATCAAATGTGTCTTATGACACAACTATTTCAAATTGTAATACAACACCATTATCCAATTTTTAAAGCACTTTATACATGAATGCAGTGGTGGT